ATTTAGCTAGCATCTTTAATTCTATAATGTATACATTTACTCTTTGCAAAAAAAAAAAAAAAACTTTCAATTTAATAAAATTAACACCCTTGACTCCTACGCGTGCATGATAATAATCAAATACTTTTTGGGCAAGGTACATAGTTGCGGCGCATGCAGAGGAAGAGCAAAGTAGAAAAAAAAAAGATGGGATCCAGAAGATGAAAGATTCTACACCTAGCGAACGAACTGCATGCCAATGCCTTAATTTATAAGCCCTAACTTCCCTTGCCATATATATATATATATGATGTGATAATGAGAGGATGAAAGCTGAACTCGTCTCCTCGATCTAAGGATAAATAAGATTACGCGACGGTGAAGGATGAGTACGACTTTCGATGAGATTAATATATAGTAGTACTCTAAATTAATAGTTATTGAATCTTAAGGAAACAAAAAAGAACTAAAACGTATGTTTATGTATATAATAAAAAATGTGACAGAAAATGGTACAGGGTGTGGGACAGAAGATCCATTGCGCTAAACTAATATATAAGTTAATTAGGAAGTTATCGATCAAAAGATACCCATTTAAATACAGTATACATTTTAGTGGCACTGATCAAGAAGAAAAGGAAATGGGAGGGATGATTGATGGGCAAATTCGGACATATAAACCCCACATGCAGATGCAGATGCAGATGCAGTGCTACAACGAGACACTGAAAGGGAGGGCTGTGGTGGGAGAGGCATATGAATGACTCAATTGACTCTCTTCAAGTTCAAACCATCCCTTTCGTCCGTGTTGATTTTCTCAACTTGAGGAGGTTCGGTTGCTAATATTTGCTAACATCGCTGATTTGAATTGATGCTAGCTCTAGCTACTGCCTCATGTTGTTACGCTAAAACTCCTCTTATCATTTAACAGACAATCCACAATACACTCTCTGAACGCCATACTAGATGATTGATTGCATCTTTAATCTCTCCTTCATATTCATGGTTTTTGCTATTTCCATTTCCACCCCATTCTTTTTTTTTTTTGTTTTTGTCTTTGCCCCCAAGAAGAAGAAGAAGAAGAAGATATTATTGAAAGCATATTGGCTTTTCGTTCAAAGACTAGGCCACCAACCAAACAACCTTTTTCCTGCCTTTCTAGGCCTACATAATATTAACTCCTCCATGCTTTCATTTGGAATTTTGCATGACACCACCACTCCTAAGTCCTATCTAGATGAGATCCACCACATCCAATTTCAAAAGAGATCCAGCGAGCATTCATGAGATGCACATACATATGCAAACATGCTCTGCTCTAGGTGGCGCAATCCTGAAAAGATTGAATTGAGTCCATTACCATACATATCAAATGATTGCCTTTTCCTCCCAACATTTTGATTATTGTGTACGCCATTACCATCATTGGTTTTGACCACTTTTCTTGCCACGAAGCAACACCGCCTTAATTACTTTGACTCCTTCCCGATACATACAGAATCTAATTCTCTCTCTGATGAGGCCTTTCTCATTTTTGCACTCCTGCCATCTTTTTCACTCATTCGGGTAGAAATCAAAGATCACTGCCAGCATCCCAACAATTACTACTCACCCCTCACCACCATACATGCATAGTTTTCTGTTGTAAGGCTGCCAATAATCTTGCACGGGTTTCTGGTCTGCTTTCTTTGTTTTTGAAGCGAACATTCCTTATTTATTTATTTATTTTTTTTATATAAAAATCTGCTAAAGCTGGCTACCTTTGGATGACAAACTCAACTTTGTGTTCCAATCCAAAAGCATGATCGCCATAACAAATTAAGTGTCTTAAAAGAACTCTCTGTGGTTATTCCTTTCGGGGGGGAAGAAAAACAAAAAAAAAGAACTCTGGTTTTTATATCTCTATATATGTCGGTTATCCTAATATGCAAATTAAATACAAAGTATATATGTACCAACTAATTCCGTATACGGATGTTTCCTTGTTTCTATGATACCAATGACCAAACTCAAGAAAGGGAATTAACCTGCTTCATGATATTCTTCTACTCATTGCCTTTGGCTGTAATAAGGTTTGCAAAGTGGTTCTTGTTCTTATAGATTTGCATGTAATAAGTTTAACCCCTCGGCAAAGATCCATCTTGAGCTTCCTATATATATATATATCCACAACAAGCTCAATTTCTATTATACGTACAATGATTGGCAGACCGTCTTAATTTCCCCCTTGATTACAGCATCTGCATGCCGGGGCCTCATCGAATAAAGAGTTATCTCCTCATGTATCTGCCAGTTCGATACCATTTGACTTGCATATCCAAATTCCTTTCTATTTTCGAGACATCATCCTTTAATTGGAAGAAGAAATAGGAAAAGGAATAAATTTGACTCTTCATCACTGTAGGCAGAAGAAAAAAATTTATGTGTTTTCTATTTATACCATCACTACTAACTTTGTTAGGAAACCAAATGCAAAAGCAAATGAGTAACGTTTTTCAAAGTCCAAAAGCGCGGCCATATCTGGGACAACAATGAGACCTTAGTACTCCCCGAAATTTCTTACCAAGATCGTAAATAGTGCACGGAATAATGGATTTAAAGGGAGTGCAGCATGCAGGACTTATTATGGTACGTCAACTTTGCATTGTGTATTGAAAACCTATATATATATATAACACATAATTAATGTAAAATATATATATATATATATATATATATATATATATATAGGACTGTTAAAATAAAACCATTTTTAGATTTGGAAGTTTACGACGGTGAAAGGGTTCATAGTTGAATTTCCCGTATACAAAGTAAATGAGATACAATCTGTTATATTTCTTGCTTTTATGTGTCTTTTTTTTTTTTCCCCCTTTTCACTTATAAAGCGAGTCTCTTTAGAGTATACAAGTGGTTAAAATAATGAGGCATTTGATTTGTATGCGGGATCTGGTTGTTGGGACAGCAATCATAGAGACCACCATATATAATATATAGTACGAGTCCGTCCCATTTTTTGCTACATGCTTAGTTTCGGATGCTATAGTATCAAGCATCACTACATGAGTTTGTCCTTGGCAAATAGAGAGAAAGGAAAATTGGAAGAGGAGATGACTGTGGAGATGAAATCTAGCTTCAATGATTCGGTTGATTAACGTAGAAAGCTACTGCCCCGGGTGACAGTGAGGTAATTGATGTAGGTAGTCGTGACCTATTTGGTGTATTACACTCGTGATTGGTGACTTTGGCTAAATGTTGCTTATATGATTCTTGAGATTGGAGAAGTTGGGTTGGTCAGGTGAAACTTCGTGTCCTCAAAGAAGAACCTAAAATTCAAACAACTAATGATAGTAAACTCACTAACATGCCATGATTTATCCACCTTTAGGGAATGAAAAGTGTGAAAGAATAAAATTTGTGGGGAACAAAATCAATTTCAACAACAGGGGAAACAATCATGTAGTTTTACTAGATGAGGTGGGACAAAAGCAAATAACCAACCCAGCTAAAGGCAAAAGCAGCAGCAGCAAGCACGCATTATGCAGAAACCACACACTAGTTTATAGTAGTAAAAATTTACCCCCTTAATTAATACTACACTTTATATAAGAGCAAAGAAACAGCTACCCACTACTGTTTTGAAAGCCGCTCTAGGTTTTATTAGGTCCTGACAGTTTTAGTGATAACAAAACCTCAGTACGCATCAGGAGAATATTATACCCACTTAATAAAAAAGAAAGAAAGAAAGAAAAAAAAAGGGTGGTAGCTAGGGGATGGTGGTGGCTCAGCTGAATGATATATACTACGTACTCTACTGTGGGGATGGTTCATTAATTAGCTCTCTTGAACTAAATTACATTTCTTTTTATTCTTAATTAGTGAAGTCTTGCTTAGGAATAGATTGAAACTAACAAATTAAATATTGGCATGGCAATTTTCTTGGGTTTTGTATTTTCGTTTCTCTCGTCCCCTTTAACTACTAAAATATTGTTTGACGTCCATAATTAGATAAGGTTTGGAAGCGTCTGCAAAGAGTACAAGGCATGAAAGTAAGTATACCTACAAATCAGTCTATTTATTATTCACACGGTGTTGCCAAAATTAGCCACAAGTTGGGAAATCAGCAAAACAGCTGCCTAAGCCTAAACATCGCATGAGATTATAAGAATTGAAAAAAAAAAATATTTTCCTGAGGAGAACAAGAAGGTTATCTAAAAAGATATACTCAGTTTCAATTTCTGTCTGCGCACCTAAATGCTATAACTATACGCAGCACTGACGAGATTTACATCGAATTGTTTCAGGATATGGCCCAAAATTTAAATTTGGATAAAAACAGTTGGCAGGAGACTTTTTTTTTTGAATTTTTATTACATATGTTACGACACTTGGAAAATATCCTTGTTTTCCAAAAGAGAGACTTTATAGTCTGCCTGTGCCAGTTCATGTGAGAGCGACAGAGCAGATTTCAATATTTGAGCAAATGTAAAAAGGAATGGCTGTTCACTTGGTGCGCAATTGTCAAAGGAACAAGCCGAGAGTGCGGCCCATGTCTTGTGGTCCTAAATAGTTATAGAGGAAACATTATTATTAATGGCAATCTAATTACTGCATATGATGAATCTTTATGTGTACTGGAACACTGAGAAGAGCAGAGTAGTTTTGGTAAGGTGAAGAAGCTAGCGCCATGCATAGTTAGCAAGCTTGACTAATTCATCAGTGGGTGGATCAGCGTTAATTAATTTGACAGAGATTATTCATTCGTTAATCGAGTCAACGGTGCATGCGAGTTTGGGATGATTGGGAGAAAACAAAAGGAACAAAAGGATTAGTTCTGTTCTTTGAACAAAAGAAATTTAAGCAGCAGTTGTGGACTCGACTAGTTAGTAGTAGTGGAATCCATATATCTGCCGTAATTGGCGGTCCGATAATAGGAAACACGTCGCGTCTGAATTTCTCTCTCACTGTAGTGTTAATAAACAAACAATGGATCGATGAATGGTCCAATATATGGATGGTGGCAGTTGTTATAACATCAAGTCATTAGCATGGCAAAGTACTGTACAACCATGATAGGATAAGGATTGGACGTATCCTCTCCAATACATTTTCACACTACCACGCGGACACGGGCTCTGGAACTGGGATTGGGGTCGCTCAGAATTTGAAACGGAGATTCTAGGAAGCTGAGATGATGATGGTTGATGGAGGGAGGAGCTCATAGCTGAATGAGCTAGCGTACGTACGTAGTGCCTAATTAATTACTAATTGATTAATAATGTGCATGGCAAAAAAAAATTGAATGATCAAAATGGATGGGGGGAGCCCGGACGGGAAGGGTTAACAACAAAAAATTAGGCAGCAAACTAGAGACTAGTCGGGCGGAATGCTTTCAAATTTCGGTAGCAGCTAGCGGCACCTGAGGAGGTGAGAGTTAATTTGTGAGATCTAGCAGAGCTCCAAGGAGGACTCGTAGTCCAGCAGTTCTTGAATCATCTGTTCTATGTGATCATCTTCTTCAAGTTGCTTAACGAACTGGTGGTCCGCCGACGCCTCCTGCTGCACCACTCCGGACCCCGAAGACAAGACACCCTTTTCATGATCGTTATTATTTCCACCGCCAATATTAATGTTGTGGCAGTTAGGTGAACCGGAAGCAACCGCCGCCGCAGTGGAAGTGAAATGAATTTTGTGGTGATCAGTCGTCTGTTGGCGCAGGTGGAGCTGCTGGTGTTGTTTGGTGATTTGGAGGGAAGCCATGTAACACTTGTGCAACTTAGCGGTCAAAGTAGCAGAGAGGAGCTTTGAGGACGAGGTCTGAGGAGCATTTGGGTTGTAAGGGAAATTGGATCTGGCTCTGGGTCCGCACATTAGACGCGCTGCTTCATCGTACGCTCTTGCCGCATCTTCCGCTGTCTCAAATGTTCCTAACCATATCCTCGTCTTCCTGCACCACACCACAAATATCATCATCATATGTACATACATACGCACGCATCTTTATTTCATGAATGAATGAATACAACTTTAATTATGTCGTTTTTTTTTTTTTTTTTGGTTAACATCAAAAAGAAAAAACATATACTGGCTCACAATATAGGATGGCGAATTTCGGAGACCCAAGATCCCCAATGCCTCTGCCTAACGCCCCGGTATCGTTGTTGAGGTCGAGCCATTGATATTTGATAGTAGCAGCAGTAGTAGTAGTAGTAGTTTAAATGAAGAAGTCTTTCTTTTTTGGGTTTCCTTCCTGCAGCTAGCTCTCTCTCTCTCTCTGTCAGCTGTAGTGTTGCAGTAATCAATAATAGAATGTGATCCAATCGATCCTCAATGGGGAAAGAGTTTAGTAGGAATCCTCAGTGAGGAGGGATCGATATGAATGGAGTGGAGAGAATGAGGGAGGAAGAGAGGGTGGTGGCAGTGGTTTTTGTAGTTGGGTTCGTTAGGAGACATGCAGTGGAAAAAGTGCTCCATCCCTTTCTTTCCTTGGCCTTCTGTTCTGGCAACCAATTTAGGCAACTGGGTCCGCCCTCCCTCATCCTCATGGCGGGGGGGCCTCTTTCTACTGCTGCTGCTAGTCGTGGCCCGCTGGCTTATTTGAAGTGACAACCAATATACTAATTAATATTACTTGTTAGTAAACAGGGGAGGGGATTTTAGAAAGAAAGGGACCAAATTCAATTCACAACTCTACCTTTTGTTGCCCAGTTTCCTGATTGCCTTCCCCTGTGCTGAAGTTGAACAAATTATCATCAGGTCATTGTCTCGTAGATTCTGCATGTGAACATTTCCGGATGGATCACCAATACTCCCAACGCACCTTTTCATTACTGCTACATCCGCTAATATTGTTATTCTTATTGGTCAAGACCGACGACAACGTACGGTTGCTCCCAGAAAAATATTATTGAGTTTTTTAGGCCTGTTTTTTTGGTCACATATGCCCGCCCCACATATCAATATCAATATCAATATCAGTAAAAGGTTCTTCTATTCATTTGGTACTCTTTTTATTAGGATACAAATTAACCAAGTGAAGCTTATTAGGACACCCCAAGAAGACTCAATATGCTGCATGCCGATCGATAAAGCGTAGTAAAGTTTAGTTTCTTTAATCTTCTTGACGGGGGAGCCAGCATAAAAGAAGAAGAAGAGGAAGCAGCAGCAGCTGAAAATGAAAACCAGGAATGGATGATCAGCAGCATTTTTAGAGAGAGAAGTCACAGGTCTTTATCCGATATTAATAATTCATATCACATTTCAGGTTACCCGCAGCATGCAGGACGAGGAATTAGATGCCGACCAAGGAAGATGATTGGATACGGGACAGATCGAATTATTAAATAGTAGAAGTAGAATTAGAATACAAAGCAAATCCTGAGAAGAATGGTGACCTGGTCAAACATGTAACCAGTATATGTAATGTATGCATCTAGCGTGTGTACTGTAGAGGCATGAATCCTCGTGAATGATTCGGTACTCCCAGGTAGGGTTGGGACACAAGGAATAAAGAGGCTGGGACCATTATAATTCCAGTAATCGATCATCCCAATCCATCATTTAGTACGAATCCCCTTCCAGAAAAGAGAGAAAAAAAAAAAAAAAACCTTACACAGTGGAAGGGCTTGCAGTTAGTTAATTTTAGATCCCAGACAAGGATACCATATGATGCACCCTGTACATAATATTCATACGGCCTGTCTTTATTGTTGACATTATTAAGGATACCATATGAATGAACTGATCAAAGCCACAGCGAGCAGAGAACATCTGTTCTTGTGCTGATGATCATCATCTCATCTGCACTACTACTTTGTGCATAATGTGCCATGTACAACATACTGCTTGCTTTGTGGCAACGGAATTGGATGTATGGGTTCTGATTGTTGAGCAACAATATGTTCCCCGGCCCTTCTCTTTTTGTCCTACATATCCGTGGTTCTAAGCATGTTTATGTTTACTTTATACTCTTCTTCTTATTCAAAGCCGCTCACGACTCATTTGGTTAGAAAGTCAAGGAGAGGAAAGTTAATCACACACATAGACAGATTAAGGAAAAAGAAAGAATGGAATTAAAAATGGATATGAGGAATTTCAGAAAATGACACCATAATCTCTTGTCTTGTTTCTTGCTTCACAGCTAATATGCACGTAGACCATTAGAATTATGACAAAGCGGTCAACTAATTAAAAAGTGGAGTACACAACAATTAAGAAGAGTAGCATATATATATGTAAAAAATTTAACACCAACAGTAATTATCAAATAAATTAATGATTATCCTAACAATATAATTCAAAAACGAATAACATTATTTTTCTTTATTGTTTATTATTTCTTTGCTCAAGAATAAACAATTAATTGAGGAGTATTTGATACTAATATATATTATGCGAGTAATAAATTTATAAATCGTTACTTCAGATAAATGTGCGAGTGTAACAGATTTAAGTATAAATATAAGGTTGAATATTCAAAATCCAATATTGTTTATTAAAATACAAAATTAGCATAATACAAAAAAAAAAAAAAAAGGAAAGAAAAAAGTTGAACCTACTGGACAGATTTTGCAGAAAGCATATTAATTACACGCAGTGGTCTCTCATGTATACAAACAGCAGATGGGCGACGAGGTGACAATATCCCGACGCGGGGTGATGAAATTGAAAGGCTCCTCCCCACCCCGACTCCCTCACCCCTCCCTCCCTGCAGTTACTTGAGGGGGACGACGACGACGACGACGCGGTTCAGGAGTCCCTGTCAGAGCGATCCCGACGCTTTGCTCTCTGCATGTGCACTTTGTTGTTTTCTTTTGAATATATGTATGCATGTATATAATATATAGTTTACAGGGTTACATACGTAACTTTATGTAACTTTGAAACTTATGCTGCTGTAGCTCTGCAAATTTTTCTATTGGACTAACATGTTTCTTAACAGAGAGATTGAACTGGCCTCACGCGGTTCCAGTTAGAAACGAGAAAGCTAGGGATGTGATAAGCAGTAGATTAGGCCCTCCTTTTTCCTTAATTCTCCCGCAGTCCATGGGATTTGTCGCCACTGATCCTGTTCAACATTTTTATTTTATGTATATATATATATATATATATATATATATGTATGTATGTATATGTATGTATAATTTTGGGGGATACCGATATTCAAGCTCATCATTAGCTGTATATAACACGAAAGTGATGCATCAGATTTGCATGTGCATCCTTCTCATTTTCTTCTTGCCCTTATCGTTACCACCCTTTCTTTTTTCCTTGACGATTTTACACATGTGATGTGGAAGTGGGAATCATTCCCTAAAGCACAGAGGGAATCATTCCCTAAGGAACTGTAGCGGTCCTCCTCAAGAACCATTTTCCTCTATGCGGACCCAAACAGACGAGTAAATGAACACGTAATGTGTGCGTGTTTGGATGGTCCATTGGTAAAAAACATGTTTTGAAATCGCACTTTGGAAGCATGTTTTTAACTCATATGCAATTGCATATACATAATACATCGCATTCGACATCGAAAAGTGCTACTGTGGGAATGGATACAGGATTGATTTCCAACTTTGCAGAATGGCCCACATCAGCAGAAGGGGTAAACGTCAAAGGATTGAAACAGAATGTGCAAATTCTGGGCATAACAATACAAACCACTTAACTACGGAAGGTTTTGTTGGGCCGTCTTGTTACAATGGACAGAGGTCATCTTCTTCGGTCCATCTGATGTCGAGTGGCAGTCAAATATGGAATTATGGCCCACCTAGACATACATGAACTGGAAGCCCACCTAGAAATTTCGTAGTAGTGTTAGAAAACACACAGTTGGAATAGATATGTGGACAAGCAGTGCGGGAGGAGTAGTGGTCGTCCGATCCACATGACGGTCCAATAGAGCAGATGAATGGGCAGAATCAGAATGAATGGCCCACCTATAGCTCAATCTATTCTAACTCACATGAATGGGCAGTTTCATACAGGAAGGAATTGGAGTAGTCCAATCTCCAATGGCCCCCCATAGGCAACCAGTGTAGTCAACGCACTACTAACTGATCAAGCAGCAGCTGGTTGATGTGGTAAATCAGAAAATTGGCATTATTTATCAGGGATGGCCATGATTTAGCCAAAAAAATTTTGTGCGATTCAGATTACAAGTTGTGCATCGATTTTAACACTGTACGTGAAATTCATGAAATTTTGTACTAAAATTACACGTTGTGCAAATAAAATTATTCCGTATACAACTAAAGTTACACCCGATTAAAAATGGCCAAAATAGCTAGGAACGGTTGCGGGTCCGTGCCCCTTGTGGATTTATCAGCATCATGAAATAATAATACTACTGCTACGTACTTAATAGTAATAACAAACTATTTAGAGCCCCCACCCCAGAAAACAAAAAAAGAAATAAAACTGGTGAAGAAATCAAAAAGATGATGATTGATTAACAGCGGTACAGGTGGCCGGCGCCTCATCCCTGGTTTTCATCGTCGCCTCGCTCCCAGCTGTTTACTACGTTGATCAGCAAGCAGTGCAGCAGCTCTGCAAGAAAGAAAAAGGGTTCTTTTTTTTTTATACTACGAACAGAAACAGGTCTCCGCCTCATTTCTTAACTCCATTCATAACTGCTGTGCAATCAGCAGTGCTGCTTCCTCGGTCAGTTTTATTAGTAATCTTTATAATACGCTAATAAATAGAGTATATTGGACTGCTACGTTAATCTCGCTTTTCGTGCACTTACTTGCGTGTTTGGTTCGGTGTTTTTAGATAACACAAACTAACTGTCTCCTTGACATTTAAGATTTTTAATAGTGACGCCTCCACTCTGTATAATCAAATCCATAAATTTTTGAGCTTCCACATTCTCCAATCTATTCCCTCCTCTGTCTCTCTACTTTTTGTTGCTTGTGTTGGAGGCTGGGTAGGAGTGAGATCGGTGAATTAATATTAATAGTTGGTGTTGGGGATCAGTGATCTAGGAGTGGAGGATCATCATCAGATGGCGTCAGGAATGCTGTCTCTTACTTGTCCTTCTTCATCTTCCTTATCTTTGCCCCATCACTTTAAGGTAACTCAATTATCCTCCGGTCCCTTTCATTTGAATATCAGCATTTCTTTTTTGTTCGTGGTTGTAATCTTTTGAAAAATAGAATGAGGATGCATATGATGGTGTTTGTTTGTCTTTGCCCCCGTTTATATTAAGCAGGGTGGTGCTGCTGCTGCTGGAAAGCCTAAGCTATTGAATCAAGCTTCTGTCTTTGGGAAGCGTTTCGTCAATACTGAGGTGTTGCTTATATATTTTTCCTCCTCTTCCAAAATTGCAGTATTATTGTCAAACTTATTATATCAATCTATCCCATTTCTTCTCGATTTCATTGGGGGCATTCAGTTGTTTCCTTTTCTGGTTCAAAGTTTCCAGCTTTTCTATTATTACTACTAATGTTTGCTCTCCACTTACTCCCCTAATGTTCAGAGAAAACGTCTTTACTTTCTGCTTCAAATGGGTTCTCTTGCTGCTGGGCTAATTTATGACTAAATGAGCATGATGTTGACCTGCGGCTTAATTTCACTCCCTAAAGGCCACCAGCCTTGCTCTTACTCAGTTCTTTTTAGCAATTCACTCATTTGGGATGTCAATGCATTAAACTGAGGCTTTGAAGTCTTTACTACCAAGTTGAGGCATGCATGTCAAACTTCTTCACATTTAAATTAACTATCGCACATTGTTACAAACCCATGCCAATTTATAAATATTTCTACAGTTTCTCAATAAATTAGTGCCTCACATTCGTCATCTGTTCACATTCATCATGTTATCATTTACTTGGTCAGCTGATGTTATGGCCTTCTAACTACACCACAGCTAGCTAACCAATTTATTCCGCCTCCCACTCCCCCCTGTCTGTGATAACATCCATTCATGGTTTTCCTGTTTAAAATAAATCCTGCTAGCCTATTGTACGATCAGAAGTGGTGGACAAACAGTGAAACCTATGGGATTTGATGTTTTGGGCCTTTGATCTTATTTGTGTTTTAATTTTTCTTGCAGTCTTTCACTCGGACAACCATGGCGGTTGCTCTCAATGTCTCTCGATTTGAGAGCATAACCATGGCTCCTCCTGACCCTATCCTTGGTGTATCTGAAGCATTTAGAGCAGACACAAATGAAATGAAGCTGAACCTTGGTGTAGGAGCCTATCGTACAGAAGATCTTCAACCTTATGTGCTTAATGTTGTGAAGAAGGTGATTTCCTTCTTTCTTTTTGTAGACCAAATGGCACTAGGCTGTACCTTCCCCCCCCCCCTTCTTTTGTTCTCACTTGCTTTCCCTCTATTGCAAAAATGACGTATTCGTCCATCTTCATTTCACCATGGCCTATCTGACATTGTTCTTTTGACATTACACCGGTTAATCAGTATTGAAACTTGCATGCAGGCAGAAAAACTAATGCTAGAGAGGGGAGAAAACAAAGAGGTAACTAATAAAATGAACCAAATATCTGAACTAACACCATCTTATTTTTATGATTTTCTTACGAACTTTTTAACAAAAATTTGTAGTATCTTCCAATCGAAGGTTTGGCTTCATTTAACAAGGTTACAGCTGAGCTGCTGCTTGGAGCCAATAACCCACTGATTCTGGAGCAGAGAGTACATTCATTTTCCTTTTATCTGCTTCTTACCAAAATGGTTTTGTCAAAACATCTTTCTGTCCAATGCTCATATGTCACTGTTGGTTCCCTTTTTTTGGGAGTATTCCAGGTTGCTACTGTTCAAGGTCTTTCAGGGACGGGCTCACTTCGACTTGCTGCTGCTCTTATAGAACGATATTTTCCTGGTGCAAAAGTTCTGATATCATCACCATCCTGGGGTGTGTTTTCTAATTTCCCTGAGCTTTTCTAGAACTTCTCTCAGTACATGGAGTGTAAATCAAATGTCTCCACAGGAAATCACAAGAATATCTTCAATGATGCTAGAGTACCTTGGTCAGAATATCGGTATTATGACCCCAGTACTGTTGGCTTGGATTTTGATGGGATGATAGCTGACATAAAGGTTTGTGTAACCCATACACCTAGCTGCCAATAAAACAATTTTCCAAGCCCAATGCTTTCAACGAGTACGCCTCTTATTCGAGAAGGAATGCTTATATTCATCATATAGTTTCTCTGAGACTGTGATAGCCCATTAAACTTGTAGTAGGTTGTACAAAACCTTTTTTGCTGCTCATTATATCAGAGCTTTGCAAAGCATTGTCATTTATGACTATCTTGGCAATGCCTGCTTGAACCTGCTTTTCATTTTTTTTAGGATTGAATGTTCAGCATATATCTCATTGTTTGCCCGTTTGTATCCTTTTTCCTCCTCTTAGGCTTTTAATTTTCAAGAATACTATTGATTGGGTCTGGGCCTGTTCTCATTTGATTTTGATGTTTTCAAAAGTTGATTTTAGAAAAGCTCAAAATCAGAATCCATAAGGCAGGTCCCTTTTAACTTTGTGATTTGGGATTTTTAAAGTTTTAAAAGTGACAAAAGCTGACTGAAAAAGCAGTTCAGAGGTTGCATTATATCCTTATGATATAGCTGGCAGAACCACAGCACTTACCATAGATAACCCTTAAAAATCTTTTGCTTCCTTCTCCTCATTGATTAGCTGCACTTTTTCCTGAAATACAGAAAGGTGCTGATTTCGCCTTCTAGCAACCACCATTTGATTCCTGCTCTCTCATTTTTATTTCTGAGTGATGAAAAGAAAATGCATGTATTGTATTAGGCTTATATCTTTCATTGTCTCGTTTAAAACACTTCAGTCTAAACTATTCGTGTCCTTCTTATCAGGCAGCCCCAGAAGGATCATTTGTGTTGCTTCATGGTTGTGCCCACAATCCAACAGGTATTGATCCAACCCCTGAGCAATGGGAAATCATTGCTGATGTCATTCAGGAGAAAAACCATATTCCCTTTTTCGATGTTGCTTATCAGGTAAATCTTTCTGGTTGCTTGAGATTTTGTGTATTTTACTCTAAGCAAATGTTCAACTTTCATTTTGCTTAGTCTCCGGTGAAAAGTATGCTGAAACATTTGGAGTTTTTTAATTCCAGTGACTATAATTTATACATCTAGGTTTAATCAAACAAGAGAAAATGTAATGCTGGAAAAGGTAGCACATGAATTAAGCCCTCATTGGATTAGGCTCCATTTGTTCAAATATGAATCAGGCTTAAATTTGAGCTTAAAATACATTGAGCTCAGGTTTTAGGTTTCAGTAGATACTATATTCTCTTATTTCGTGCTTGACTCAAGCATTTTATATTTCTCCTTGTTTTCTGAACTTTGTACTTTTGAGTTTTTTTCCCTTAAATATTTATTGGCAGACCACTATGGTTTGGTTCGTTATGTTACAAGGAATCATCATGATTCGTTAAATGCAATTTGGCATATGGCATGCCTACGTATGCAAAATAAATATCTATTTGATCCTGCCTCATGAGTTATTAACCAATATGTGATGTGCTTGATTTCAGCTACAGAATTGACTAATCCAATTAATTAGGTTTGAATTTGATCAAGCTTCTCTGTAATCCAGTGAGAATTAAATTTAGTCAAACTTAAACTGAACGGTTCAAGTAGAGCTTTATTGATTGCTTTCATTGTGCATATATACTAAATGATTGGATGTATATGATCTTTCATAGATAAGTCTCACAATGAGGGTTAAGAACTCATGAAATCTATAGAATGCATATTAAAGTTTCCGTGGAAATTATTAACAGGATAATATTTCAGATGGCAAATTTTCTTTCAGGGTTAAATTTCAAAATCTGTGTTTGGCTGCAGGGATTTGCAAGTGGTAGCCTTGATGTAGATGCATCATCTGTGCGACTCTTTGCTGCTCGTGGCTTGGAACTTTTAGTTGCTCAGTCATATAGCAAAAACTTGGGTCTTTATGCTGAAAGGATTGGAGCAATCAATATTGTCTGCTCTTCTGCAGATGCAGCAACAAGGTACGTCAACCAAAAAGTACTTATAGTTTTTCTATTCTGGAATCTGATTAGTTGTTTGCCCTGAAAATTATATTTACTGCACGCATTCAAATTGGGAACTAATGTCTGGTGCATGTATCCTGAGAAGCATTATTATGTTCAAAAGATACTGTAATCAACATAGACACAATTTTAGGAATTCTGGTCCTTCAAGATTTAGTACTGCTTTAGCTCAACTAATGTTACTCTTATCTGAATGAATTGAGCATTGTCCAGGTCTAAATGCATAATAACTACTGGTGTAGTGACTAGTTTTAAGCCGGTAGAAACTATATTGCCATCTTGATTTCCGGCAGAACACTCTTCCCAAGTATAATTTTCCAAGCCTATCCATGCTGTCTACGAGTCCAAACCGTAGTATCTTTATTGATCTGTCCAATTTAGGTTTATCCTTCAAGATAGGTTTCTGAAGCATGGTGGTTGTGAAAAAGCATTTCCCGGGATTTGAGATCAGTGTACTCCAAATAGGTTTTTTACCCATTGAACTGACAGAATTTGCGGAGACAAGTATACTAGTATTAAGTGATTCTGTTTACAGGGTAAAGAGCCAAATAAAAAGGCTGGCACGACCAATGTACTCAAATCCACCCGTTCATGGGGCCAGGATTGTTGCTAATGTTGTGGGCGATCCGGAGCTCTTCAATGAATGGAAAGAGGAGATGGAAGTAATGGCTGGAAGAATTAAGAGCGTGAGACAGAAACTCTATGACAGCCTCCGTGCAAAGGATAAGAGTGGAAAGGACTGGTCATTCATTCTCAGGCAGATTGGCATGTTTTCCTTCACAGGCTTGAATAAAGCACAGGTATTATCCTTTCTGTTACCTTACACTCGGATGTGGCTTCTGATAGTTTGTTTTCAGGAATAAGCTTGGGAAAAAAAATATTCTTCTTGTTGCAGTGCGCGCAAAAGATTTGATTTTTTGCATTTTTTCCCAATTGACTAAGACTCGAAATGTTTCGTTTTACTTTTCAAGTCAGTCATCAATCCTATATGCCCAGATGCATTTAAATTTCAGGGTATCATACTGATGCTTTTAATGTCCTTCTAAGCAGAGTGACAACATGACCAACAAGTGGCATGTGTACATGACAAAGGATGGAAGAATATCTTTAGCTGGATTATCTTCAGCCAAATGCGAATATCTTGCAGATGCTATCTTTGATTCGTACCACAATGTTAGCTAGAGAAGATTGGGGAGCTAACTAGCTGGTGGAGTTCTGAAATTTTTTGTTTTTACATTCGTTAAAGTTCTAAACTTAAAGACATGATGCAATAATTCATCATAAATTTTTGTCCGGTGGATCCCTTTCTGGACTTCTGGAAGAGTGGTACCAAATTTCAGATATACACTTTTGGTAAGCAAATGAGCACGAGAGTGATTCAGTGCAGGCACAAGTAAAAAGCTTTCTTGTTGCAGTGTAAATGTGGGTCTTGTTGTAAAAAGCATTACCCGTGGAAGTGTTTGGTCCAATTTAATAATTGTGCGAACAAGATTCCAGCTGAGGTGGGACTATTAACAGAATATGTCCACTTTTTTTTTTTTTTGTTTTTCGCCCAAGTTTTTACTGGATTATTAACATTGTCGTCTATGCTGTTCTTTTAATCATACATAAGTTTCTGCCACAAAGAAATCATTCTGAAGGAGTTTTTTTAAAATTGTTTTTTATTTTCTAAAAACCCTTCGGAATGTTAAAACCCATTTTGCAGCACTTCGAGTGCCACGTCCCAGTTGGCTGTGAACTTTTCCTTTTCCCCTTTTTTCTTGGGTTCTGTAAATGGCATTGCTGTGGTTCTCCAAACATCTGTTCAATCAGGAAGGAAAGTGCCTTTACAAATGCATTACTATTGCTCTCGTGCTTTATTACGGTTTTCCTTTATTCCGATGATATAATCCTGCAGACCTTTTTTAGCAAGTGGCTTCTCTGTATCTAAAGAAGCCAACATGTTTTCTCAAAAGCAAAATGAAAATTTTCAATCTCTCATCATGTTCACCTTTCTTTCCTGGCATTCCAAAAGATCGAAACCACTTAAACAGTCGCCATCTCAGAATGATTGCATCCCTTGAGAATGAAGAAGCTGGACGAGAGAGCTAGACAGCAACTGGGGTGACTCCTCAATCAAACAAACAAACAAACCAAAAAAGGAAAAAAGCAAAGAGGATAACTTTGGTGGCTATCATTTATTGAGTTAAGACGAAACATGCTTAATTTGCATTTCATGTTGTACAAGTAAAATGAATCTTCAAGTGTGTTTCCCAACTTCATTAAGATCATGTTTTCGGTTTATCGCTATTTACATCGATCGATGTATTCCAACTGTCGTGTTAAAGAAGAAACCACATCTAAGCTGCTTCAATCTGCATCAACGATCAGAATATCCGAGTTTTGGGAAGAAACCTTTGACATAGGGAAGGGGAGCACCCTTTTACCTAAAAACTGAACGAATCATCTACCGCAAGGCATGCATCGTGTTGGCAGACTTTAAGGAGCACCACCAAGATCTACAGTTGCATTGCATCATAATAGAAGACTGACTGCAAAATATGAAATCACCATTCAGGTAGAATCAATCAACAGAGAGGTCACAGAAGCAGGTCGTTCAACTCTGAGCGTCCCGCCAAGCTCCATAGGAACAAGGGGAACAAGGGAATGCAACACATCTGTTATCAGTGGTCGATAGCTTGGTTCAGGCTGCACGCATAGCACAGCGACTGCAGCAACCTGGAAGCATGCGGTGCATTCTTTTCAGAACATAAGCACAGAAAGCTTTCCTAATTTCTATTTGTGTGAAACAAACATCAAAGAGTAGTTCTGATATGAGCTGAAGGCAGCTGATGTTAAAGCTTATATACAAGCCCGAGAAAGCCCCCTAGATCAACATGAAATGTGTACAAATTTACTAAAGTAACAATTGTTCTTGGCACACTAGTCAACCTTGGATATGGCTCTCCCAAGTTCTAGGTTATGCTAAAACGTGTCAGGCATATTAAAATGGCAGAACGTGCTCTACTTCCGCCAGTACCAAAACAGATGCATCTTTTCCTCCAACTTACCTGGAATAAGTGCTTTATATCCATAGCATTTCTAATCACAGGATCCACGATGTTTGGAAGCTTTGATCTATCTGTCAGCTGAGGCATAGCCTACAATCACACAAACCCTTTGTCACTGGTTTTTGTTTTCAGTAACTTCAGCACATCCATGCCAAAAAAGACATGAAAACATACCCATGTGACTATAGATTGGCATTGAGCTGGTGCCAGCTTCTCCACAGGCTTTCTTCTCAGGAGAAGCTCCAAAAGCACCACTCCAAAAGCATAAACATCACTCTTGTCAGTCAATTTACCTGTATAAGAAGCAAAACACACTTCCTGATAAAAATTATATCTAAGAGCCTAACCGAAGAGCCTCGTGTTTAGTTTAAGATCAACCATGATTAGTAAATTGTGAAGCGAGGTGCTCAGGATTAGATAAACATTCCAGTTCACATAAATTACTTCTTACATTCTCAAAGCAATTTCACAGCAAGGATGACAATTCAACAGAAGAAATCCCATCAGCAAGACTCGTTATGTCAGATCATACCCTCTTGATAAACTACTGGTAAATGAAATGTGATTAGCTTCCACCTTATAAGAATGAAGAACATTAACCGAGAGAAAGCTTGAAGCAACTACAGGCTGTTCAATTATGAACCAGATGACAGAGAATCAACAAAATTAGGAAGGATGACTTGTTTATATTGGGCAGCCTAAACCAAGAAAATGAAAAGCACATACACAGCCAATGTACTAGCTTTATAATTTCCTAAAGATAACTACAACATAAATTGCTAATTAATTTACTCCCTAATTTGGTTGTTTCCAGAAATCACACTCCCTGATACTTGGGATAAAATCTACACAAGTCTAAGGGGTAAAAATGTAAAACTTTTCCATGGCATACCATCTAAGAGGTACTCTGGAGCTACATAGCCCAAGGTTCCAGAAAGCTTGATGTTGTTCTTATTTTGAGCCCCATCAAGAATGGCAAGACCAAAATCAGATAGCTGAATCCAAAAACAAAAAAGAGACAAGCGTTTTGGTGAATCCCTTGCAGTCTGATTGAGGTGTACAGCAGCAATATTAATAATAACAGAGCAAAAATTTTACAGGACACATCAGAGCCTTCTTGAAATCTATATGAGTGTTACCTTAGCATTGAGATTTGAATCCAGAAGGATATTAGATGATTTCAGATCTCTATGGATCACTGCTGGGTGGCAGTGCTCATGCAAAAATTCTAATCCTCTGGTCAAAGAGTTAGCAGATAAATTAGTCTCGGTACTGGAGGACTAAATTGAAAAATGAGTGGTGTGTGCTGCCTAACAGACCCACCTAGCTACATCAAGGGCAATTTTCATCCTAAGATGCCATGTCAATGCTGATCCACCAGAAGGTCCTGGTTGCATTGAAGCCAAAGAGAACAAATTATTAGGCATAGTTGCAGTGCCTTGGATTCATGGACTATCTAAAACGATAAAATTTCTACCATGTAACTGAGCTTCCAGAGATCCATTCTGCATCAACTCGTAAACTAGAAGCCTTGTTTCACCGTGAATGCTATAACCTATCAAAGAAATTATATTTGGATGCTGAATTTGACCCAACAACTCTACCTCAGTCTGCAAGAGAAAATGATAATTCAACAACTTCAATAAGGGGCTACGGAGACAATCCAAAAACAAAGGGAGCAGAATAAAGAGAAACAAAGATGCACCTCAAATTCTCTTATGGCATCCTGAGTTCCTCCATCTAACCTCTTCACAGCTGCAAACTGATTATCATCCAATTGAGCCTTGTATACACATCCAAATCCTCCTTCGCCCAAAATGTCACTTTGGCAGAAATTGTTTGTAGCTGTTTGTAGCGCCTTGTAGTCCATTACAGCTACAAACCTTTTTCTGCAGCTAGCTTTCAAGGAATTGTATTTTGCTAAAAAAGAACCAAATGCAAGCCCTTCCAAGCCATCTTCACGCGAAACAAACAAGAAACAGAATCTCAGATAGAAACAGCAAGAAACAAATGAAGCAGCATTCAAAGAATCTCCCAAACCGTTGGCTGGATTAAATCAGGCATTACTAATTGCAAAATTAAGAGTACCTGAGCTATGTAAACTGTCGGTCTGAGATTTGCTAGTATGCTTTTTGTGATAAATCCAAAAGAATAACATCAAGAATAGGATTGACCCAAGTGCAGTGGAAGCCGCAATGAGTGCTATCACCAATTTCCTGTTGGAATCCATCTGGTGGTGCTTTTCGGTTCCCGCTTGGACCCCTGATGGTTACAATATCAGTTTATAGAAGAAATCCGAGGTAAAGTTGTGAGCTTTGATGGTGGTGGTGGTGGTGGTAGTAAGAGAAATGGCAAGGAAAAACTGAGAATGAAGCCCAGAAGACATATCTAAAACAAGTGATCTAAGACCATCAATCAGAACCAGCAAAGAAACCAGATCAAATAGAGAGTACGAAAGGAGAGAGAGTTGTTGAGGAGTCGGAGTTAGTAAAAGCCCATGGGTGAGTACAAAGCGCTCGCATATGGGTGGGGGTCTAATGTAAAGATAATATATATATATATATTCTTCTTTTCTGGGTATCATCGCATTAAATGCCATGAAAATGATGGCTCTGAGGCATTGAATATTTTAAAATTTGATGAAAAACTAACACTAGTAGTAACTGTTAACCAGGATGGAAGAGTCAGAGAAACCCAGGCAGCAGTAAGTAGTAGTAACAGCCAAAGTGTCAAAATCATGACATTAAATAACAGTGAGGAGAAAGCACATCAAACGTGTACTTTTCTTCGTAGGCAGTTGTGTGACAGTGAAAGAACAAGGAAACTTGGAATTCACAAAAGAATACAGCTCAAGTAGTAGCAGTACCGGGTCCTGGAGAGGAATGTGCCATAGAAGCATTAATTGGAGAAACGAGGGCAGTTTCCGGTGAAGAAAGAGGAGGGGCTGGTCGAGAATCAACAAGAACGATAACAGTAGCTGATAACTGTAGTAATATATCCAAAAGGGTCCGCAAAAGGAAAAAGGGCGGATCAGAAAAGCAAGAATCTTTTATGTTCATGGTAGAGTTTTTTCTCTTTTTTTTTTTTCCTCCTTGACTGTTAAAAGGGCCCGGGATTATTGCCTCAAAAATAGACAGAGAGAAGATAACCCCACTCCCCCTGCCCCTACCTTCAGCCTTCTCTTTCCCTCCGAAGAAGGCTGCTACGAAGATTACCGTCCGCAGATGTCTTCTTTTGGATCTTCCATTTCTATATACTGTTTCGGTCTCCCAATGCTTTATTTATTTATTTACTTTTTTTTTTTTTTAAAAGACACACTTTCAGTAGTGTTAGCATACGGTAAGGAGTAGCCGAGAGGAGAAACTAGGCAGGAGGAGGAGGAGACACAAATATACAAAAGGGAGGGGAGGTTACATTATTCTTTCATCCATAATGGTAAGAACGACAGCATAACATAACCCGACGGGCAGGGTTTGTGGCAATTTCTGGGAGAATCGGGCTGCTCGCCATTGTCATGTGAGCATGCATTTTTCAGAACCAAAAAAAAAAAAAAAAGGGAAGGTAAAATGATAAAAATATAAACGTACCGAGTCCGTGGGGATGGAGTTGGGGTTGGTGATGGTGGGCATCAACAAATTTTGCTGCTGCTCAAAGTCCACTTTTACCCCCACACACAGACTAAGGTTGCAAATGAGCCGAGTTGAGTTTTGACCTTATCGAGTCTGAGTCTTGACTTAATTTCATCGAACTCGAGCTCGACGAGCTAGTAATTTTCAAACTCGAGCTCGACTCGATTCGAGATTAAGGTTGCAAACAAGTCGAGTTGAGTTTTGACCTTATCGAGTCGAGTCTTGACTTAATTTCATCGAACTCGAGCTCGACGAGCTAGTAATTTTCAAGCTCGAGCTCGACTCGATTCGAGCCGAGCTTGAGTTCGAAAATAATAAAAAAATAATTATTTTATTTAAAAAAATAAATAATATAATATTTTTTTAATAAATAATAAAATATTAAAAATATTAATGTAATTTTACTATTAAAAATAAAAATATATATATATATATATATGTATATATACTCGAGCTCGCGAGTCTAACGAACTTAATGTTTTGAGCTCAAACTCGAGTCGAGCTTAAATCGCGAACGGCTCGATTCGTTTGCAACCCAAACACAGAGGCACGGCACAACGAATAAAGCGGCGAAGATGACCCTTACGCTTACGCAAAGTTCATTCGCATCCAGATTTCATCTAAGAAGGTGAAAATGGTTGGTTCTTGAATCTTGATTGCTTGCTTGAGCTATGGACTGCTGCTATATAAATAATGCATTCACCAGCTTATTACGCCTCCATTACATTAGTCGGAACGAGCACATGCTTTTATCCGTCCACCCGAGCCCGAGGAAAGATAAAAGCACATGCCTTTGTCTCACACTGCTTATACACGTCCATGTGTCTTACCCACCTCGCAGCTGGTCAGGAGGTTCTTGAAAGCACACTTCAGTCTGGATTTCCCAAAAAAAAATCTGTTACCGATGGTTCCAATTTTTGTCATCATTGACGGAGTGATCTACACTCTACAGACGGATATTCGAACGCCAATGTAATATAGATACATATATTTGCTGCTATCTTTGTAGAGCATGTCAATATCCTGAAATAGTTTCTTAGGACAGCGTTCTTCAAACACGACTCAAGCTTGTTCAATTTATTTGTAATTTTCGTGTTAACACTGTTCGCCACTTTTACTACATGGTCTACACTCTACAGACGGATATTCGAACGCTAATATAATATAGATACATATTTTTGTTGCTATCGCTGTAGAGCATGTCATCATTGGATACTAGGATTCCCCCGGATTAACCATTATTACTTATTTATACATAGGCATCGAAGTAGTAATTATCATTGGTTGGATACAAAAGCTTAAAAGTAGCAGCACTCCAACATTAATTATAAGTAGTAGAATGATTTTTTTTTTATCCATCACTCTTAAAGGTATATTTATATGCCTCTTATAAACTCACGTTAATCAAATTAAAATTTATATAATCCGATCTGCAGTCCCTTATATAATCATAGTAGTAGAGTTTCAACGAACATAATCAATCCGATGCCGATGCGAGTAGTACGTTTTGTTTTGTAGGTTGATTTGTAGCAAAATTAAAAGGGATGCCGCGTAGTAGTAATACCACTGTCTACTAATATGCAGTAGCAAAAAATCATTATTAATTGCTTTAGAACAACAACGGAGGATTGAAACCGAATTAGGTGGGGGAGGGCTGGAATGTGTACAAATTACCCTAGAAGAATATATTATGTTGTGGTGGGGATGCAAAATTATTAGTATTAATAATCAGTAACAAAAAAGTCAGTCGGCTGGTTAGGACTTGGGCGGGAGCGCATGCATGCAGAGTCCAAACTGCATTATCTATCCTAATTCCTATGGGATAAGCGGGCTCCCGCCCGTCACAGCTGGGGCTTCGAAAGTTTTTTGTTTTTCTCCAAAAAAGGATGTTTGGTTTGTTGATCTGGCTCTCCGCTATCTAATAAATTATTTTTTTAATAAGTGCATGCATGCACGGTAATACGGTGGTTGATCGAACAAGGATTTTGATTTGAGTCCAAAACCAAAACAGGACAGGACAGCTCACCCATGACCCGACCCGTAGATTAGGAACGTCAAACACGCGTACGTAGAAAAAGGGCAAGTCTGCGAAAACTCCATATTATTGTCTTTCACCTCTCTTGCGTGGCCACGTTTACTTTTCATCCATTTATTGACGTACACGTAACACGACGGTACACCACCGCCTTTGCTTTGCGTCCGTTATTTATTTGTCAAAGCCCTCCCACCTGTTCCCACGTCATCATTTTCTTCACAGAAATCTTTCCTTCCCCTTTACTCTCTCTCTCTCTCTCTCTCTCTTTCTCCCCCCTCGCCGGCCGCCTGCCTTGTTTCAGAAGAGGCCAGACTATTTCTTCTTACCGTCCTCCTCCATTCATACCTTCGTGTCGTGTAAATAACAGTCGTTCGTCTAGTTATAGTTCTTTCTTTTCTTTTTTCATTTTGCTTCTGTTAAAAAAGCTATAGCTTTTGTTTTTCATTTTACTTTTTTTTTGGCTGGAACTGGGAAAAAAAAAAAACACCCATGGGAGGTGTAGCAGTTCTTCACCCACAAGACTTGTTCAACCATAATCATCATCGCCACCAGTTCATTTCTCCGGCTATGAAATCTCACTCTGCCCGCCGGAATCTTCATCCGGCTCCTAGTAGATCTTGCAGTCGCCGGAAGAGAAGTCCTCAGAAAACTACCACCTTGCCTTCGAAGCGAAGTAATCACCCCCGTAACTCCTCCCCTTCCTCCAAGCCCACCGGTAACGGTCCCGTGATTGTGGTGGGTCCCATTAAGATTCTGAAGCGGGGCGAAGCGCTGCCCGTCTCCACGACGCCGCCATCCTTAGATCTGACTCCTCTGAAGGAGCAGCCGCCGCCGTCGCCGCCAGTTCAGAAAGCTCCTGCAAATAGTACTACTAAGAAAAAGAAGATGGGCGCCGGAGTTCCTCGCGAGTTAGCCGTCTTGAGTGCCCCCGAGCCTGAATTGAAGCAGATCCAGCGGATCTCGGATTGTTACGCCGGATCCGCGTTTATATCTTCGCCGCCGCCTAGTTCTCTCCCCGTCCCGGCCTTCTTCAGGAAGAAAAATCTCGTCTTGACGGACGATGACAACGCCGCCACTGACAGTAATAGCGATGATGACGCTACAAGCGATTTGCTGAGGCTTCTTAGGCTTGATCTGTCATGAGTTGATTGGTCGGGCCGACACTGAATGCTTGGTTTAAAAAAGAAAAAGAAGGGATTTTGATGAAGAATTTGAAGATGAGGGGATTGTTTGCTCCGATTCGCAGTAACTTCCTTTATTTTTTCAAGGGGAAGGCGAATCACCAAAGCAAATCTATTAAAGTCTTGTCCGCCTCCTCTTCTCTCTTCTAATTCCTTTATCTAACTCATAGATTAGAGTTTGGCGCCTCGGCCGGAATTGGCATCTAGATTTTCAAGGTATTTGTATAGCGTTTTTACCCAGGTCTTTAGCACCTGATCTTTTCGACTCCTGTTGTGCTGTTTAGCAAGTCTTTTAAGGGTGTTCTTTTGCACTTGTAGATGGGTATGGTATGGTGTTTAATAGGGGCTTGAAATTCAATAGTAGTGTAGTACCGAGTCTCCATTTCCATTGTTTGTGCTTACGTGAAAGTCTGTTGGTTATGTATGTGTTTCTTTTACCAATTCTGTATAGTAGAAGAGAGTCCTTTTGTAGTCTTTTACTGGTTGATTTCCTCTCGCCTTTTCTATATATATATATAGTCTACGCTATACTACTGGGACTATACATCTTCCAACGCGAGCATTAGCTGTTGCCAACTGAAGTTTAGTCAACCAGCAGGGAGAATGGGTGTTTGGATCTACTAACGTTTCACCACTCTGATCAAGATTTCTAATGCTTGAATGCAACTCACGCTCCTGGGGTTCTATTTGTTCAAATTGCTGGCCTTTCAGAACCAGCCTATAGATAGATGCGCACTGATCGAGCTTTATAACTTCATATCTTGTTGAACCTTGGAACTAGTCAGCAGTGTAATGTCTTCCAAAGCTTGCACTAAATTTGGCAAAATCTGAATCTTGGCGATGGCTGCAGTGCAGCAGTAGTATATTCCAATAACTTCTTCATTCATCTTTATTTTCTTACATCTGTTATTCTCTGCAACACCCTGAAATCCTACAACTGTACTGCAATGACAAACTGCCAGTTTTGAGTTACAGCAAATGACGAACTGGAAAACATCCAAGTTGAGTGACACTACTGACACCTATTTCATTTACACACTGAAGTGCTTAGATGGAGAAAACTTTCAACCTCCTCCACTTCTGAACTCCTTTCTGCTCCAACTTTTGACATCCCAAACATCTGATAGCACAAAATATGAGTAAGCACCAATTGCAACACAAGGGCGAAAGAGATTGCATCGCAACAAAGTAAAAGCTAGAATCAACCTTCTGGATGCCTTTCTTAAAAC